AAAGAGTGTGATATTTTATGGACTAAAATAATGATTTATTTAATAATTAATAGAAATTAAACACATCCTCATTTATTTATTTATTTATTTTTTTTTTATAAATATTCTTCAACTAAGTTCAAGTGCTGAACTGCGCAAGATGTCCAATATCATCCCATTTTGGTTTCTTCCTCACCTATCCGTCTTTTCTAATTTTGGTTTCTTTGTTGAGTGATATTTCTTTTTTTAGGAATTAGATAACCCATTTTAAACTTTGGTTTCTAAATGAATGTTTAAATTTTATAAATATGAACAATTATATAACCCAATTTAATTGGTTCAAGTCACTCAACATTCACATGTTATATGTTTTTTTTTTGAAAAATTCTTGTGATCTTATAAAATTAATTTACGCTAATAAGTAGTTTTTCTTATAAGATTTCTAACGCTACTTTGAGTGTAAAATTAAATTTCATTCAAACAATATAAGTACTCCTCTCTCTATATATATGTCATATATGTGCAATATAATAAAATAAGTCTCTTACTTCTAAGTAACATTTAAAATTACGAATTATAAGAATTTATATGAAGTGAAGTGAAAGACATGGAAAGAAAAAATTTATACCAAGGAGTTTAGTAGTCAATGGAGTATCAATGGAGTATCAAGTGATGGAATAAAATATTAAAAAACCAATCTGGTTGAGCTGTCATTTTTTTTCCTACTTTTACCTTCACTATGAAATTCAATGGCATTGGATAATGAGGAATATTAGCAATATATACGTTGAGAAAATTTGATTAAACATAGTTTCTTATGTATTCTTAGTTTGTTCTCTTGTTAACATTAAAGTAATCAATATATATAGATTCTCAATGCGAAACTCAAATTCTACTCAAAGTTCAAAAGTACCTATAAAATTATATTTAAGTTTTATTTTTATTTTAAATACAATAAAATATATTAAAAATATTAAAAAAAAAATTATTAACACTACTATAATTGAAATACTTATTACGTATTTATTAAGAACCCATGAGACTCATATAGTACGGGTGTTGTTAGGAATACTAGTTACTTAAGACTTTCTTTTAACAATCTTAATTATGAAATGTAATTTATATAAAATCACACATTATTTTGATAAAATTTATATATTATACGAATTTTCTTTTAATTTAGTAGTAAAATATATAAAAATTTATAATTTATAATAAATTTTATCAATATACAAAATGTTAGAGGAAGTGTGCATGACATTTGTCTCGACATGCATAATGTAATTTGAGCATTTAATTTCCCAGTTGTAGATTTTGGGGAAAAAAAAATGAACCAAAGGAGAATTTAGGTTGAAGTTTCTGAGAAACTGATGGCAGTGGCTATTATTATTATTATTATTATATTATAGGAATGAACGTAGCATCATAATTTAACTGCATCCAAAATTAACCCTCTTGCCTTGGGTGTCCAAATACCAAAACCCACGAATCTAACATTTATTTGTCGTCAATTGCAGATTTGTATTGTTCTGTGTTTAGACTTGGAAGATGGCAGGGACACCAAAGTTAATGAATGACATGTGCCAAAAATCTAACCTGCAACTTTGACCAGATCCAATCTTTTCTTATTATCATCGAAACATATAGAAAGAAAACTTTTTATTTTTAATCAAAATAATACCTTTTTAATCTTTTACCAGAGATTACAAATATACAGGATTAATTTATATAAATCAATATTGAATGTAAAATAAATAGACATCAAAGGACGTGCTTAAATTGACGTCTAAAATGCACTTGCAAATTCAAATCAAACCAAACATACGGTTAGTTTTTAAAGACATGAATTCTTGAGAAATAAGTGACTTAACGATGAATTCAACTTTAATATGATAATTAATATTTTTGGAGTAATAACATATTCTAATTCTATATGTTTCATACACAAAAGAAAATCCTACTATGTAATTATATAACTAAAAGTTTATCATTTAACCTAATGACATATTTTCATATTAATTATATTTTTAATGATACGATTCATGTGATACATTTTAATAGAGTAAAGTAAAAAAATAATATTTTCTTAGTTTCCTAATCATTTATAGAAAAATATTAAAAATTAAATGTATTTAATATCTTTAAATATAAATAATATTCAATATTTTTCTTCATTTAATAATAAGTAAGATTGTTAGTATAAAATATTTTTAAAAGAATTTATTTTTAAAATAAAATTTTATTATCCCTAAAATAACATTTTTAATTAATTCAATTATAAAGAAGTTTAATTTCTTTTAAACTACAGTTCATTTTCGTGCCTAATAAAGAAAAAAATGCATGTTAAAAAAATCTGTCCTTTTAAGTGAGTTTATCATATTATATAAGAAAAAGAGTTAATTACCTATACATTACCAGTGTAAAATTTTTTTACACTGCCAATCAATTATATCTCTTAATTGTGCCATGTCACTGTAAACACATTTATTTTTAACAATGACATGACACAATTAAGAGATATAATTGGTTATCAGTGTAAAAAAACTTTACACTAATAATATATAGGTAATTAATTATAAGAAAAATACATTATTACCTAATTTGCCATGTTATAATCTTAAGAATCAACAAGGATTGAGTTTATTGAAATAATTCTACAACATATAATAAATTAAGGTTTGAATATTTATTATAAGAGTTGTGCCCACGCTTAGTGTAGGATAATGTCTAAAAAAATTATTTTTGACAAAAAAAAGGGATAAAAAGAAAATATTGTACTCTTAAGATAACGAGAACTAAAGAACTAAAGTGTAACCTTAACTTTTACTGGTTAAATTCTTCGCTTAGTTCTTAAAGTCATTTTTATTTTTTAATCTCTATAATAACCAAAAAATACGAATTTTAGTCTCTTATTTTTTAGGAATTTATTGCTGTACAAATCATTTTATAATAATTTTACACGGTTTGAAATTCTTCTCTAATATTAATGATAAAGACCAAAACCTATATATATATATATAAATATGGACTATAAATTTTCTAAAAATAAAAGTTAAAAATCTCAATTACTATAATTTAGAAAATAATTATTATAAAAAATATAAATTTATTGCACATCGTAATTTGTTATTAATTATCAATAAATTTGTTTTATATTATTAATAATTTATTTTCACTTATATATTATAAATTAATTCTCATCTATCATACATCATTAAAAATATCACTTATTTATTTATGTATCAAATTTAATAATATAAAATATGAAAAAATGTAATAAAAAAAATTCAAGTCTCAATTAAAGAGATATAAATAAAGATAATTTTTATTTTATAAAGATGAATTAAATTATAACTCCTATTTTAATATA